CCATCATTGGTATCAGTGGGAGGAATAGTGCCCCATCATTGGTGTCAGTGGGAGGAATAGTGCCCCATCATTGGTGTCAGTGGGAGGAATAGTGCCCCATCATTAGTATCAGTGGGAGGAATAGTGCCCCATCATTGGTGTCAGTGGGAGGAATAGTGCCCCATCATTGGTGTCAGTAATGGAATAGTGCCCCATCATTGGTGTCAGTAGGGGGAATAGTGCCCCGTCAGTGGGGGGAATAGTGCCCCATCATTGGTATCAGTGGGAGGAATAGTGCCCCATCATTGGTATCAGTGGGAGGAATAGTGCCCCATCATTGGTATCAGTGGGAGGAATAGTGCCCCATCATTGGTGTCAGTGGGAGGAATAGTGCCCCATCATTGGTGTCAGTGGGAGGAATAGTGCCCCATCATTGGTATCAGTGGGAGGATAGTGCCCCATCATTGGTATCAGTGGGAGGAATAGTGCCCCATCATTGGTATCAGTGGGAGGAATAGTGCCCCATCATTGGTATCAGTGGGAGGAATAGTGCCCCATCATTGGTATCAGTGGGAGGAATAGTGCCCCATCATTGGTGTCAGTGGAAGAATAGTGCCCCATCATTGGTGTCAGTGGAAGAATAGTGCCCCATCATTGGTATCAGTGGGAGGAATAGTGCCCCATCATTGGTGTCAGTGGGAGGAATAGTGCCCCCATCATTGGTGTCAGTGGGAGGAATGGAGCCCCATCATTGGTGTCAGCGGGAGGAATAGTGCCCCATCATTGGTGTCAGTGGGAGGAATAGTGCCCCATCATTGGTGTCAGTGGGAGGAATAGTGCCCCATCATTGGTATTAGTGGGGGGAATAGTGCCCCATCATTGGTGTCAGTGGGAGGAATAGTGCCCCATCATTGGTATTAGTGGGGGGAATAGTGCCCCATCATTGGTGTCAGTGGGAGGAATAGTGCCCCATCATTGGTGTCAGTGGGAGGAATAGTGCCCCATCATTGGTATCAGTGGGAGGAATCAGTGCCCCATCATTGGTGTCAGTAATGGAATAGTGCCCCATCGTTGGTATCAGTGGGAGGAATAGTGCCCCATCGTTGGTGTCAGTAGGGGGATAGTGCCCCATCATTGGTGTCAGTGGGGGGAATAGTGCCCCATCATTGGTATCAGTGGGAGGAATAGTGCCCCATCATTGGTGTCAGTAATGGAATAGTGCCCCATCATTGGTGTCATTGAAGGAATAGTGCCCCATCGTTGGTATCAGTGGGAGGAATAGTGCCCCATCGTTGGTGTCAGTAGGGGGAATAGTGCCCCATCATTGGTGTCAGTGGGAGGAATAGTGCCCCATCATTGGTGTCAGTGGGAGGAATGGTGCCCCATCATTGGTGTCAGTGGGAGGAATAGTGCCCCATCGTTGGTGTCAGTAGGGGGAATAGTGCCCCATCATTGGTGTCAGTGGGGGGAATAGTGCCCCATCAATGGTGTAAGTGGGAGGAATAGTGCCCCATCATTGGTATCAGTGGGAGGAATAGTGCCCCATCATTGGTGTCAGTGGGAGGAATAGTGCCCCATCAATGGTGTAAGTGGGAGGAATAGTGCCCCATCATTGGTGTCAGTGGGAGGAATAGTGCCCCATCATTGGTATCAGTGGGAGGAATAGTGCACCATCATTGGTATCAGTGGGGGAATAGTGCCCCATCATTGGTATTAATGGGAGGAATAGTGCCCCATCATTGGTGTCAGTGGGAGGAATAGTGTCCCATCATTGGTGTCAGTGGGAGGAATAGTGCTCCATCATTGGTATCAGTGGGAGGAATAGTGTCCCATCATTGGTGTCAGTGGGAGGAATAGTGCCTCATCATTGGTGTCAGTGGGAGGAATAGTGCCCCATCATTGGTGTCAGTGGGAGGAATAGTGCCCCATCATTGGTATCAGTGGGAGGAATAGTGCACCATCATTGGTATCAGTGGGGGGAATAGTGCCCCATCATTGGTATTAATGGGAGGAATAGTGCCCCATCATTGGTGTCAGTGGGAGGAATAGTGTCCCATCATTGGTGTCAGTGGGAGGAATAGTGCTCCATCATTGGTATCAGTGGGAGGAATAGTGTCCCATCATTGGTGTCAGTGGGAGGAATAGTGCCTCATCATTGGTGTCAGTGGGAGGAATAGTGCCCCATCATTGGTGTCAGTGGGAGGAATAGTGCCCCATCATTGGTGTCAGTGGGAGGAATAGTGCCCCATCGTTGTTATCAGTGGGATGAATAGTGCCCCATCATTGGTATCACTGGGTAGAATGCTTCATCCTTTGTGTCAGTGAAAGGAATAGTGCTCCATTATTGGTGTCAGTGGGGAATATTGCTCCATTGTTGGTGTCAGTGGAGGAATATTGCTCCATTGTTGGTGTCAGTGAAAGGAATAGTGCTCCATTATTGGTGTCAGTGGAGGAATATTGCTCCATTGTTGGTGTCAGTGGGACACAGATAAAGGCAAGGAAAGGGCCACATCTGTCCCCCGGGTCGCAGTATGGAGACCACTGGCTTAGAAAGTTTGGAGACCCCTGAGCTACGGATGATGCTGGACGTCCTCCCAGCCAGGAAATGGGGCGGAGCTCTGTCTGACTGGCTGCAGCTTCTAATGCACATTGTGAGAAGCTCCCAGTGTGCGGTGACACCAGAGGAAGTCGTTTCAGTCCAGGAGAGGAGCCGGTCGGAGGATGGAGGTCGGATTTAGGGCCCTATGTTCCTGAACAGCCCAGCTGTATGGCCGTCACTCGCCCCTGTTGACTTTCTCAGGTCAAGCACTGAATTCGGAGACCTTTCACGTTTTATTTGGGGATGGTCGGTCATTGTGAAAGCTCCACCCCCTAATACGGCCGCCATGAACAGTAAAGTCAGTGAAGGGAAGAGGGCAGGGCTGGTATTTGGAAATTGGTGGTTGTAGAGTCTGATAATGGCCGGCTTACAGTAATTGGGCAATTAGGAGATGAAGGAGCCGGATAAGAGTGGTATGCATGGAGGATGTCCGGTATACAGTCCTCCAAGGGAGGGACCACGCATTCACCGTCCAATCGTCTCATGCCATCTTCTGGCCTGTGTTCCTCCTTTAAATCGCAAAAAAAAACGTAACAACTGCACTAGTATCTGTCGCTGGATCACATTGTAATGACCCTCAGTAGACTTGCGCTTCGGCTCACTACCAATCGAAATTTATCTGAACTTCCGACTCACAATAGTGACAAAAGTCCAAAATAAATAACCAAATTAATTCATCGACTTCCAAAATGAATTTGACTTTGAAATGGAAACTTATGGGGCAGCACAGCGGCTAAATGGTTGGGTAGCACAGCGGCTAAATGGTTGGGTAGCACAGCGGCTAAATGGTTGGGTAGCATAGTGACTAAATGGTTGGGTAGCACAGCGGCTAAATGGTTGGGTAGCACAGTGGTAAATGGTTGGGTAGCACAGTGGTAAATGGTTGGGTAGCACAGCGGCTAAATGGTTGGGTAGCACAGCGACTAAATGGTTGGGCAGCACAGCGGCTTAATGGTTTGGCAGCACAGTGGTAAATGGTTGGGCAGCACAGCGGCTAAATGGTTGGGCAGCACAGCGGCTAAATGGTTGGGCAGCACAGCGGCTAAATGGTTGGGCAGCACAGCGGCTAAATGGTTGGGTAGCATAGTGACTAAATGGTTGGGTAGCACAGCGGTAAATGGTTGGGTAGCACAGCGGCTAAATGGTTGGGTAGCACAGCGACTAAATGGTTGGGCAGCACAGCGGCTTAATGGTTTGGCAGCACAGTGGTAAATGGTTGGGCAGCACAGCGGCTAAATGGTTGGGCAGTACAGCGGCTAAATGGTTGGGCAGCACAGCGGCTAAATGGTGCGGGGCAGCACAGCGGCTAAATGGTTAGCACTTCCACCTGGCAGTACTCGGGTCGTAGGTTCGAATCCCAACCACGGCACCACCTGCCTGAAGGTTGCATGTTCTCCCTGTGCCTGTGTGGGTTTCCTCCGGGTACTCCGGTTTCCTCCCCCACTACAAAGACATGCTGGGAGGTGAATTAGACCCTGTCTAAATTGTCCCTAGTCTGTGTATGTATGAATGTGATTAGATTGTACGCCCCTCGGGGGCGGGGACTGATGTGAATGTACAATACACATGTAAAGTGCTGCGCAAAAAATGACGGCGATATATAAGTACCTGAAATAAATAATAATATTGCAATAAATACAAGAAGGAATAAAACTGAAATAAGATGATTCCTACTTAGGCTGCTTTATAGAATAGAATATAAAAAGGATAGAATAGAGTAGAATAGAAAATAAAGGATGGAATAAAACAGAATAAAAAAGAATAGAAAATAGAAGGATAGAATGGAATAGAAAATAAAAGGATAGAATGGAATAGAAAAATAAAAGGATAGAATGGAATAGAAAATAAAAGGATAGAATGGAATAGAAAAGGATAGAGTAGAATAATAAAGAATAGAAAAAATTATAGAATATTAAAAAATAGAATAAAATCAGAATAGAATAAAAAATGAAAGGATAGAATAGGATAAAACTGCATAGAATAATACAGAATTAAATAGAAAAAGACATAACAGAAAAGAATAGATTAAAACAATAGAATGGAAAATAAAAGAATAGAATAAAACAGAAAAGAATGGAATAAAAAATAAAATAGAATAGAAAATTATAGGGCGGTCGGTGTGTATGGGTGGTGCATTGGTGGTCACATCAGTCGCTGCTGAAAGCTAGCGCAGAACAGCGAGGTGCAGCAGACGGAAGTGAGTGCGCATTGGCAGGAAGTGGGTGAAAAAAGGCCGCATGAGATCAGCAGTTTGGGGTCTCCTTCTGCTTTCACCAGATGGTCCTGCTGATATTCCCGCCTGTATCAGGCCTCCCCTTCAGTCTTGCACAGGCGTACGGCTCCTCCCCTTCAGTCTTGCACAGGTGTACCGGCTCCTCCCCTTTCAGTCTTGCACAGGTGTACCTGTCCTCAGTCTTGCACAGTCTGTCTCCCTCCAGTCTTGCACAGGTGTAGCGGCTCCTCCCCTTCAGTCTTGCACAGGTATCCGGCTCCTCCCCTTCAATCTTGCACAGGTGTAGCGGCTCCTCCCCTTCAGTCTTGCACAGGCGTACCGGCTCCTCCCCTTCAGTCTTGCACAGGTGTACCGGCTCCTCCCCTCCAGTCTTGCACAGGTGTACGGGCTCCTCCCCTTCAGTCTTGCACAGGTGTACGGGCTCCTCCCCTTCAGTCTTGCACAGGTGTCCTGTCTCCTCCAGTCTTGCACAGGTGTACCGGCTCCTCCCCTTCAATCTTGCACAGGTGTACCGGCTCCTCCCCTTCAGTCTTGCACAGGCGTACCGGCTCCTCCCTTTCAGTCTTGCACAGGTGTACCGGCTCCTCCCCTTCAGTCTTGCAGTTGTCCAGGCTCCTCCCCTTCAATCTTGCACAGGTGTACCGGCTCCTCCCCTGGACTGATACGGCTTACTCCGATTTCACCGCACACTGCGAGCTTCCCACAATGTGCATTAGAAGCCGTAGCCAGTCAGATAAGAGCTCCGCCTCAATTTCTGGCTGGAGGACGTCCAGCATCCTCTAGCTCCTCCCCCAGCCTGGCTGTCTCGGGCCCCGCCCCTCTTTCATTAATCAGATTTCAGTTCTTTCAGTCCTGGAGGCTCAGCATCACACGTAGGCGTTACCTATGCAAACACAGCCTGCCTAGGAACGCCCACTCCTCTAGATGGTTACCTGCCCTCATCTTTGCATAGCTCCTCCCACTGAGGGTGGCCAAGAGGAATACTGAGGCAGTGCGCTTTGGTGTTTTTTTTTTTTTTTTAAGAAAGCTATTTACTGGCCCCTCCCAGCAGCCATAATCTGCATGCACTGCATAGAGAAGCACAGTGACCTAGTGATGACATCACCAATATAATGTATTGAAAACAGGTTTCATAGGAGGGGGGGGGAAAGCAAAATAACTTCCTTTTTAAAAACGTTTAATAAAGAAAACCTTTTTGAAGGATATTTAAGCCACGGGAATGTGCGGTCTCCTCGGGCGATGGTATTGGAGGTGTTGGCTGGAGCTGACGGTACAGGTCCGGGCAGCGAGAGGTGTAATTAGAGCCGCCGTGTAATCGGAGCGCGCTCACAGGGATTAAAAGTGACGTTCAGACAACACAACACCTCCACTGCACATGTCGGCTCCACATTCCCCATGAGATGGTCCTTTAGAAATAAACTCTTCGCCTTTTCGGAAGCACTCGTTATCACACGGCGTCGGGGTCATAGGTTGGACCACTCTTAGTCTACATGTTGATGCCGTGGCAAGGCACAATCATCACCAAGTAGACTAATCCATTTTACATTCTCAATTGCCAGCATTGTAGTCGTGGCGACAAGAACCCGCCATTTTGTAAACGGAGCCAGCCGTTCCAAATGTGCCCCTTGTCCTTGTATCATCTTCCCAGTAGGCTGGCCTCCATCTTTGAAGGTTCTATCCTTGTCGTAGTTGGACATTTTTAGCGCACTTGGGTTCACCATTTTGTAAATCTGGCCATCAGTTCTAAATTCGTTCCTTGGACTTGTGTCATCTTTCCATTGGATGGTCTCCATCTTTAGATGTTCTCTCCTTGTGATTTGATTATTTTTAGCACACGTGGGTTCACCATTTTGTAAACTGAGCCATCGGTTCCAAAATGTGTTCCTTGTTCTTGTAAACTGAGCCAACAGTTCCCAAATGTGTTCCTCATCCTTGTACCATCTTGCCAGTTGGATGGCCTCCATCTTTGAAGGTTGTCTACTTTTTGTGGTTAGATATTTTTGGCGCACTAGGTTCACTATTTTGTAAACTTAGCCATCAGTTTTAAACTCATTCCTTGGACTTGTGTCATCTTTCCATTGGATGGTCTCCATCTTTGGAGGTTCTCTCCTTGTTGCGGTTCGATATTTTTAGCACACGTGGGTTCATCATTTTGTAAATTGAGCCAACAGTTCCAAAATGTGTTCCTTGTTCTTGTACCATCTTGCCAGTTGGATGGCTTCCATCTTTGAAGGTTGTCTACTTTTTGTGGTTAGATATTTTTAGCGCACTTGGGTTCCCCATTTTGTAAATTGAGCCAACAGTTCCCAAATGTATTCCTTGTCCTTGTACCATCTTGCCAGTTGGATGGCCTCCATCTTTGAAGGTTGTCTCCTTTTTGTGGTTAGATATTTTTCCTTGGTGCACTAGGTTCACCATTTTGTAAACTGACCCTGAGCCATAAGTTCCTAAAACTCGTTCCCAAATGTATCCTTGACTTGTGTCCATCTTTCCATTGGATGGTCTCCATTCTTTGGAGGTTCCATCCTTGTTGCAGTTCGATATTTTTAGCACACGTGGGTTCACCATTTTGTAAACTGAGCCATCAGTTCCAAAATGGGTTCCTTGTCCTTGTAAAACTGAGCCAACAGTTCCCAAATGTATTCCTTGTCCTTGTACCATCTTGCCAGTTGGATGGCCTCCATCTTTGAAGGTTGTCTCCTTTTTGTGGTTAGATATTTTTGGCGCATTAGGTTCACCATTTTATAAACTGAGCCATCAGTTCTAAACACCTTCCTTGTACTTGACATTTTTCCATTGGATGGTCTCCATATTTAGAGGTTCTCTTCTTGTTGCGGTTCGATATTTTTAGCACACGTGGGTTCACCATTTTGTAAACTGAGCCAACAGTTCCAAAATGTGTTCCTTGTCCCATCTTGCCAGTTGGATGGCCTCCGTCTTTGAAGGTTGTCTCCTTTTTGTGGTTGGATATTTTTGGCGCACTAGGTTCACAGTTTTGTAAACTGAGCCATCAGTTCTAAACACCTTCCTTGGCCTTGTGTGATCTTTCAAGTTGAATGGCCTCCATCATTGGTGATTCTCTACTTGTAGTTGGATAATTTTAGCTCACATGGGTTTGCCATTTTGTAAACCAAGCCAACAGTTTCAAACGCACCCTATGGCATTTTATCATCTCAGTTGGATGGCCTCCATCTTTAGAGGTTCTCTCCTTGTTGCGGTTCGATATTTTTAGTACACGTGGGTTCACCATTTTGTAAACCGAGCCATCAGTTCCAAAATGTATTCCTCATCCTTGTACCATCTTGCCAGTTGGATGGCCTCCATCTTTGAAGGTTGTCTCCTTTTTGTGGTTAGATATTTTTGCCGCATTAGGTTCACCATTTTATAAACTGAGCCATCAGTTCTAAACACCTTCCTTGAACTTGTCATCTTTCCATTGGATGGTCTCCATCTTTAGAGGTTCTCCCCTTGTTGCGGTTCGATATTTTTAGCACACGTGGGTTCACCATTTTGTAAATTGAGCCAACAATTCCAAATGTGTTCCTTGGTCTTGTACCATCTTTCCAGATATATGGCCTCCATCTTTGACGATTCTCTACTTGTTGTAGTTGGATATTTTTAGCTCACATGGGTTTGCCATTTGTAAACCAAGCCAACTGTTCCAAACGTACCCTATGGCATTTTATCATCTTCTCAGTTGGATGGCCTCCATCTTTAGAGGTTCTCTCTTGTCGCAGTTGGATATTTTTAGCATACTCGGGTTCACCATTTTGTAAACTGAGCCAGTGGTTCCTAACACGCCTCTTGGCTTTGTAACATGTTCCCCGTTGGATGGCCTCCATCTTTGGGGTCTCTCTCCTTGTCATGGTTGGATATTTTTAGCCCACACGGGTTTACCATTTTGTAACTTAAACCAAAAGGTCTCAAACGCCTATTTGGCCTTCCATCATCTTTCCAATTGGATGGCCTCCATCTTTGAGAGTTCTGTCCTTATGGCAGTTGGATATTTTTCCTGCACACAGATTTGCCATTTTGTAAACTGAGCCAGTAGTTCCAAACACACCCCTTGGTCTTCTATCATCTCAGTTGGATGGCCTCCATCTTCGGAGGTTCTCTTCGTATTACGGTTGGATATTTTTAGCGCACACAGGTTCTCTGCGCTGATGGAAACAATGTGGCTCTTTGTAGTTACGTCAATGTTTCCATTACAAAGAGGTCACCTGCAGCCCACCTAGTTTCCGTTCTTTTTTCCTGCCGTGGACATAGTAAGGATTCCTCTCCGTCTGGGAATAACAATCGTTTTGTGGAAAAGCGGGAGGTTCCCACGGGCCCTGCTGATGTCCCCTGTCTTCGTTAGATAATATTTTGGGAGATAACCTGGAAAATCTCTGTATACAAACACAGCTGTCTTCCTGGATACCCCGAGCGAGGGCGGCAAGGTATGGTGACCCCTCTCCGCTGCCTGTAGGCCTCATACAGCCTTTGTCAAGGCTTCTCTTGGAGGAAACACCACTGATAACCAAGAGATAGTCGTCTGCTTCCTCAAACAAGACTATCTGGCCATTGTGTGCTGTGATTGTGCTGACCCTTCCGTACTCAAACCTCCCATGATCCTCCAGTGGTGTCGAAAGACATCGGATGAAAGTGAGGAGATAACACAGAGGATGAAAAAACATGCCTGTCCATCAAGTTCAACCACCAATCAAAGACCAATCTTGCATCCCAAGAATATGTAACACGTAGATGACCCCCAAAAGGGTGAAACATCTTTTATAGAACCTGACCAGTGGCCTTCAAGAGACCCTGTCACCAGACCATTCATTTATGCACATTCAATGCATCTCATACATATTATTTACCTGTAGAAGCCTCCCAACGCCCTGAGACTACTGCTGGGTGCCGCCATCTTGGATGTGATGGCAGGGACAGCCCGTGTGTCTGATGACCTGACCTGAAAGTGAAGATGTGTCCTTTGAGTCTGGCCATTTGTATATTTACCCCCGGACTGGGTACATGGACTGACACGCTGGCTGCCTGCGGTACACGGACTGACACGCTGGCTGCCTGCGGTACACGGACTGACACGCTGGCTGCCTGCGGTACACGGACTGACGCGCTGGCTGCCTGCGGTACACGGACTGACGCGCTGGCTGCCTGCGGTACACGGACTGACGCGCTGGCTGCCTGCGGTACACGGACTGACGCGCTGGCTGCCTGCCTGCGGTACACGGACTGACGCGCTGGCTGCCTGCGGTACACGGACTGACGCGCTGGCTGCCTGCGGTACACGGACTGACGCGCTGGCTGCCTGCGGTACACGGACTGACGCGCTGGCTGCCTGCGGTACACGGACTGACGCGCTGACTGCCTGCGGTACACGGACTGACGCGCTGGCTGCCTGCGGTACACGGACTGACGCGCTGGTTGACTGCGGTACACGGACTGACACGCTGACTGCCTGCGGTACACGGACTGACACACTGCCTGCAGTACATGGACTGACACACTGCAGTTGCAGTGTTGGGTCGCACAGTTCCGCTCGCAGGCTGGAGGTGGGTTTTGCTGACACATTGGTTCTCGGATATCTTGGCAGCTCTGCGGACGGGAAGGTCTCCAGATTTTTGTTTTTATGGGATTGGTATCTGTCGGACGGCC